AAAGTCATAAAAAGAGGCATGGGGTAACTCCTAATGTTAAGCCAAGATAGTTGCATATGAGAAAGTCATAATGTCATTTCCAAGGTAATGGTGATTTCTGCTTGCCTGTTGAGTAACAAATGACTATTTCTGTTAACTCTTAACATATACTGTTCTTGTTTTGCATGTATTTGTTCTTTAAATGGTCACTGTGTTTTCCATGTGTGCAAAAGCATGTTATTGTTACTTCCACTGTCAGTACTATAAGGGAACATATGCTGTAGCTGCAGTCATTTCAGAGCTCATCATCTTAAATTAAGCATCTGAGATGTGAATATATTCTGTGCTAATAGAGCATAGGGTGGAAGTGAGAAAAATGAGGTGGAAGAAGGAAAGACAGATAGATGTTCTGAAAATACCTTAAATAATCCTAGTGGAATCTATCAGACTTGCTCTGTCATGGTCTTCAGTGGTTCAACAGTGTAGTAAATCAGGCTGTGGGTTTTGCAGGGACAGATCGAAAATGTGATAGCCATGAGATGTAAAGTGAACTCACTTTGCATTTTTATAAACTCACTCTGCTGGTCAGACTTCTTTTAATGTTATTACAAGCTGATTAAGTAACAGCAGACTGGAGAAGGGCTTGGGGGTCCTCTTGCAGCCAGCAAAAACTCTGTCTCGTGTCAGATGGTTGACTGGATAGCAATGTGATCAATACTTGACTCATGCTGAATTTGCATGGTGAGTTGATTTAGTCATACTCATACTGCCTTGTAGCAGGCTGCATGGAGCTGTGTGGTTCCACATGAGCCACTTTGTTCCCTTCTTCCAAAAGGAATTTACAACAGGATTGCTCTTGAAAGCATTCACCAAAACACCTCTAAGTTCAAGCAATTGCCATACTTTTGGCTACTCAACAGCGCGACTGACAGGGTGGAATTTCTTTAATTTTGTGAAACAGAGCAAAGAGCTGGGAGCAAACAAAGGCAGCAGTGTCTAATCACTGACCTCAGAGGGAAAGCACGCCAGGGGCCTGAAGCGGCGCTCCTTGATTGACTTTGCACAGCCAGACATCAGAAACACCAACCGGGCAGGGTATCAGGTGGACGCCAAGCACTCCAGAAGCCTTGGAATCAGTAACGTGGTGGGAGCTCACATACACACGTCGCTTGGAGCTGAAATTCTCTGGGAAACAAAACAGAAAGAGCCAAGCGGCAGTGCTGCTTGCTTTTTATCTGCAGCTGAGCAAGTAACTCAGGTGAGATTTTTTCATTGGGTTTCTAAGCTGTGGGCGTTAGTCTCATCTCTTTACTCCCACCAGCTTTATGAGAGAGGAGGTGCAAGTGGGCATCACCAGCAGAATGTTCTGGTTTCCTTTAGTTATTGTGGAGACTGTTCTTGGGGCAGGTGCGGTCAGTCTCATGATTGAAGATGGAAGTGGGAGTGGAACCAGAATTTTAGCTTCTTTTGCTTTAAAACCTTCTAAAATTGTGTCTGTTTGCCTTTGGTTCAGTTTATTCCTAAGAATCCAACTAAATTCCTCCTTCTTTGGAGGTCTTCAAAATGCACCTGGATGCCACCCTGTGCCACATGCTCTAGGTGTCCCTGCTTGAGCAGAAAGGTTGGATCACTGGGGGTCCCTTCCAACCTCAACCATTCTGTGATTCCATGGTTCTGTAAAAGATCATTCTGGTTCTCAGTACAACTGGGGTAAAACTCTTCCTCTGGTCCTAAAGGCAGAGAAGTGAACAGATTTCTTTATGCTGCGGTCTCAGTGCATGTGATACCTGTCAGGAGCTGGTAGTGCCATGAAGAGCTTTGTAAGAACAGAACTGGCTGTTGACTAGGAGAGTATATACTGCTGTGTGTTTAGCTGCATGCAAAAAGCATCAGGGAAAAACCCTGGTGAAAAATTGCTGTCTCTCACATTGAGTTAGTAAATGAGGGTCAGATCACAGCTGTAGAGACCATGGTTCTTAGGCACAAATTATTGTAGGTATGAAGCTAAACCTTTTTTTGATGGGGGAAGGAGGGGTATTGTCTGGTGAAGCAGGAGCTGATAGAGTATCTTGAAGGTGTTGAAACCAGATGCTTATTCTTCACGTGTTATTTTGATGCTCAGTGTAGGAGTAGAAGCAAGTGAGAGCAGCAGGCTAACTAAAGTGCTCTGAATCACCCTTTGCAGGAGTCTCCTTCTCATTGCAAAAGACATAAGGATCCTACTGGGGGTACCAGTTGTCCTCCTTCCCCTCTTGCTCCAATGCAGAACATTTATCCTACAAGCATGACCCTGAGAAACCTCAGACCGTTTCTGCTTACATTGCTCTCTTGTGAAAGTGCAGCTGTTTGCAAAGTAGGGAACTAACTGGGAGAAAGGGAAGAAAGAATGTCAATACTCCACACTTAGGTCTTGTGTGGGCCCTTGCTGAAAACAAGGAATGGTGCCTGGAGGTAGACCACGAAGTGATGAACCGCCTGAGGCCAGAGATCCTATGCTCTTCTTCCTCTTGAGTAATGACACAGGACACATCACAGCCATGTTGGAAAGAAAGCCCAGCTGATGCATGGATCTTTGTGCCATTTAACCTACTTTCCTGGAAGTCACATATAGCACTGCAGAATTCTCTTGAGTCGAATTAGGAATATACGTCCCTTAACATGTAAGACTCAGATGGAAAGACTTTTTCCCCTAGGTTCCACACTGACAAGTCAGACAAGGCACCTGACTGTGCCTTAAATAGGTGAAAATGAGAATCTACTGATCCACTTGACTACTGGGATTGCTCTCAAATGTACAACCTATTTTTCACCTCTGCTCTGCCAGTGCTTTTTTTCATATAGCTATTGTACTCTAATCATTTGCTTTTTAAATGAATTGGTCAAGCTGTCTGCATTGCTTTAGCCTGGCACTGATTCTTCTGTCTAGAATTAATTCAACCTTAACGGGAAACCTTGCATTAAGTACCACTTACATGGCGTAAAAAATGAAACCACTAACATTAAGTGAAAGAAGCCAGAGAGCACTTTTAAAAGGCAGTAATAGTTACATGGTCTCACTTCTGCTGTATATGGGGAATAAAGTAAATTGAGCAATAGTATTTAATTGGGAAGAGAAAGGGCAAATTCAGGGCTGTTTCCTGATTAGCCATCAACAAAGGCCTGACCCAGATCCTTCCAAAGTGAGGTTGAACACAGCTCACAGCCCATAGCACCTGAGGGACAGGAGACACAACGACTCATGGCTGCTTTCTGCGTGCCCTCGTGGAGGGAACAACCATTGCCCATGTTGCTAAGTACCCAAGTTCCTAAGTAGGGATAACTCTATCCCTAAGTTAGAGTCACAGTAGTGCCAGCGCAGACAGCCAAGCTACAGTAGCACCAGACTAGACAGTGCTGAAAGGACTGGGAGCGAAGCTCTGCTATGCTTTAGTAAGTCCCTTCATCATTCAGCAGAATTTATTTAGCAGGTAATTTGTTGAGTATTAATGGCTGTAGAGAAGTGGGGGAGGTGGCTGTTAGCACTTTCAGATAACTATGCATGGATGTGCCAGGACTGCGGAGAGTGGGAAAGAGCTGCTTCTATTCACCCTCCTCTTTTTCTCTTCACTCGTTTAGACAAGCCCTGTCTCATGCCAACAGAGCAACTACACGGTATCCTATTATTGCTGTGTATGCTTACCACAGAATAATTAAGATTGGAAGGGACCTTTGGAGATCATTTAGTTGAGCTTCCCCTGTATAAGCAGGGTCACCTACAGTACATTCCACAGGATCATGTCCAGGCAGGTTTTTAATATCTCCGGAAGAGGAGACTCCATAACCTGTCTGGGCAACTTGTTCCAGGGCTCTGTCACTCAGGTTGAAGATTTCCTCAAATTCAGGTGAAATTTCCTAGGCTTGTATTTGTGCCCATTACCTCTTGACCTATTGCTGGCCACCACTGAAGACAGTCTGACTCAGCCCTCTTGATATCCTCCCTTAAGATATCTGTAATAAGACACCCCTGTCCCCTGCTCCCCCTGGTCCCAGCCTGCTCTCTTCCAGGCTAAACAGGCCCAGGTGTCTCAGCCTCTTCTTATAGCACAGATGCTCCATATAGCAGAGGTTCCATATAGCAGAGATGCTGTGCTGGACCCTATTCAGTAGTTCCATGTCTCTCTTGCACTGGGGAGTCCAGCATTGGACACAGTGCTCCAGACGTGGCCTCACCTCCCCTGGACCTGCAGGGGAGGTCCTTCCTAATACTCTCCATGCTACCATTGGGCTTCTCGGCCACAAGAGCACATTGCTGGCTGATGGTCAACTTGTTGTCTACTCAGGTCCTCTGCGGAGCTGCTTTCCAGGAGGTCACCCCCTGCCTGTCCTGGTGGCCTGGGGTTATTCCTTCCTGGGTGCAGGACCCTACGCTTGCCCTTGTTGAACCTCACGAGTTCCTCTCTGCTCAACTCTCGGGCCTGCCCAGGTCGCTCTGGATGGCAGCACAGCCCTCTGGGGTATCAGCTACTCCTCCCAGTTCTGCCTCATCATCAGACTTGCTGAGGGGCACTCTGTCCCTTCATCCAAGTCATTGATAAGTAAGGTGAACAGGACTGGACCCATTACTACCCTTGGGGGACACCACTAGCTACAGGCCTTCACCGAGACTCTACGCCACTGATCACAGCCCTCCGAGCTCTGCCGTCCAGGCACTTTCTACCCTCCTTGCTTGTGCACTCATCTAATCCACCTTTCCTCAGCTTGACTATGGGAGGCAGTATCAAAAGCCTTGCTTAGGTTAGCATCTACTGCTCCCCCACCACCATCTACAATCCCAGTTGGTTAAGCATGATTTTCCCTCGGGAAATGCATGTCAACTAGTTCTCCGCATGCTTAGAGATGACATCCAGGATGAGCTGCTCCATCACCTTTCTACACACAGAGGTGATGAGCCCTGCAGTTGCCTGGGCCCTTGCCCGTTTTGATGACTGCAGCAACACCAGCTTTCTTGCTGCCCTCAGGCACCTCTCCTGCTCGAAAACCTTTTCCCTGACCGGGGATCGAACCCAGGCCGCGGCTGTGAGAGCGCCAAATCCTAACCACTAGACCACCAGGGAGCCCTTGTAGTCTTCTTTGGGCACTTCTTCATCTGCTGCCATGGACCACAGTGCCTGGGGATGCTCATCTTAATCATTAAGATGATTAGCTTCTCAGCCCTTGAGACCTGGAAGCAGTTGAGCCACCCGGGGAGTTTAAGGATAACTGAGGCAAGTACTGCCGTGGTACCAAACTGCTGCACTCAGGTTCTCTTCAGCGGGAAATGCCCCAGACTTGTTGCAAACGTCACCTCCCCTTTGAGACTCCCTGCAGTCGTTTTGTGCGTGGCATCCTTCAGCAATGGCAGCACTTCACTCAGTGCTTTTTGGGAATCGTCCATAAAGCCAGAAATCTCTCCTCTAAATCTTTCTGCATGACAACTTTATTGCAAAAATATCTCCAAGAAATCAGCGGGCCAAAGTGAGCCATAATTACCGAGAACAGATGTTTTTCTAAAAAGCCACGTGAAGGCAAATACTGCAGTGACTTTCAGTTACAAGAGCAGCAATTGGAACAGGACCTAACATCCACGTCTGCTTGATTTTATTTCCTTTCTGCTGTCCTTCAGATACCTCAGAACAGGGAGGCTAAGCATTTGCTGGCTATTGTGCTAGGCAAGGATCCATTTGTATTTTAGGGTGATTTCAGAGTCCTATCAAGTGCCCACATGCACCATGAGAGCTTTTGCCTCCCTCTGGGACATGGGCTACATCAGGAAGAGGTGACAGAGAGCTGGAATGTGTCGCGGTGTAGGTGCAGCTTCGAGATCCCTGCTGGGGGATCCCTGCTGCCCCATGGCTCTGTGGTGACCCAATGATTGCAAGCTATAGAGTTCTGAAGTTCAATTCCTTTCTCGAAAGGAATTCCTTTTTGGCAATGATTGGGGAGGGGGGATTATTTTCCATTGATAGTATATGACAAATAAGGACCGCAAGGAACCTGCTGACAATTTATTACTTGGGGCTAAGTTGTTCCGCTAAGAATAAAAAGCAAACCCACACCTTAAACTGTAAGGACTTTCTGTAAAAAATTCTGACAAATGAGAGTGAAGTCCCTGCCCCAAATCCAGATGGACTATGTGTTACCTATGAGAACAGGAAAGATTTTGTGCATTTCCTTAGTCGTGATTTTCAATGTACATAATGGTAGAAATATTAAATCACTTGGGTTTCATCCAGTATCTTCTCTCTTGATACCAGGGTGACTTAAATGGCCGTCACACAGAGCATGAAAAACCCCTTCTTTCCATTCCTTGATATTTGCACAGAAGCCCAGGTCAGGGCTTTACAAAGAAATTTGTAAAACTTTGCCTCTTCCTCCATTAAGTAATGCTAGTGAGTACCACTAGCAACATGCAAACACTAACAGGAGCCCACAGGACTCTGCTCAAAGCACCAAGTGCCTGTGTTTCCCTCCTGCATGGACTGCTCCATCATTCTCTAAATGGCAGGTCTGTTTTTGATCTCTGCATTGAAGCACAGCCATGTTTTGGATTTCTTTTTTTTTTTTTGTAAAGAAATATTTACTTCTTCTAATACCCTCCTTCCTCTCTAGAAAACTTCTTAAGCAATATCTCCCTTTCATCAGTAAAGCAGGGAAGATGCTTTCATCTTCCAGCTCCAGTTATACTTCTCTCACTTCATCTTTCAAAGGCAAAAATCCCCTTTTAGCAGCAATGCTGCTCAGAACTTTGTTGGCCAATTCTTTGCCCTGGATAATCTCTTTGTCTCCTAAAAAGGACCTCAAATTTGGACGCTCTGAAAAAAAAATCATTTGATGTGGGTGTGATACGATACTTTCCTTCACAGAGCCCTCACAGTGTGGGCGAGCGTGCTGCAGCGGGCATGCTGCTGGCTTCATTTTCCATAGGATATTCTCACAATTGCTGTTTCAAAACATATGTAGATGATCTTTGGCCAAAATGCACTATTTGAGTGAGATAAATGCTGCTCTTTTCTGCATTTTCATCATGGTCTGGCTGCTTCTCCAGGGTACGTAACACTTTGCTGGGGGCACACGAAGGAATTGTGTCATTCCTCCATCTCAATGTGGCTGCAGCACTAGAAGCGATAGGGAAAAAAGTCATCATTGCTACTCATTCAGGTTTCTTGCCGTACCACTTGTTCATGTGAATGTACCTCTAAACAATCTTTCTACAGTTTCATTTTTTCTGATTGTTCTGGTTTATCTGATATCCAGTATATAAGGACTAGCTGTACAAACTAAACAGACCCAGCTCTTTCCTTAACATTTTATAATCAACGTCCTACAGGCCAGAAGGAAACTTAGCTTACAACCCTTCAACAATTTTCCTTTAAAACCCTTACAACAATTTTAATTTGAGAGGTACAGAGTTATTTTACTTTATGCTAAACCAGGACAACCTGTTCAAAACTACTGTTAACATATATAAGCCGTACTAAAATAAACCTGGTTTCAAATGGGAACAAAAGCAACCTTTTGCACCTGCCAAAGCAGGTAGACCTGCTTTATATGTGATGCTTAAAAGGCAAAGGTCTGAGCCTAAACCACGCTCTGGATTTCATTGAAGCACTGGGACCTAACTATAGACAAGAGCAGTGCAAATATAACAGCAAAAAAAAAATGATAAGGAAATGAAAACAGAAGGAGCAGTGTTCTGTATTTATTAACAAGGAAGTCATGAATAGTTAATTCAGATGAAGTTTTCCCAGTAATGTTTTCCTGTATTCTTTTTACCTTGCAACTATGCAGAGCCTCCTTCTCACTCCTGCAAGTTCTTACTCCCTTCTCCTAAACCACAGAGCCTTTGACCTTGTAGTCAGGAAATACCAGCTGAGCACCAGTGTAAATAGCTGACTTGAGGCCTATTAATTTTTTTTCAGCTTTGTTTTACAAGATTTATAGTCATAAAAATGCTAGGGGCTATTTAAACACTGAGATCAGTTCAATTGTTCTTATCTTTTTGTTTAATAAATACCCACTGCTAGCTCTGCTTTGTCAGGCTGCTGTATGCGAACGCACGTGCGTGAGAGGAAATTCAATGAGCTGCAGTGCTGAGAGCAGCAGATTATTTTTTGCTCTTCCTAAAACAAACAGCTGTGATTACAGTTCACACTAAAAAGAGGAAAAAAAGAAGAGTAGAGGCTCTTAATGTGTGTCACACTCTGGAGTTCCTGTCTGCTGCTTTGACATCTGACATGGATAGAATTATGTGGTATTTTGAAATTTGGAGAGTGGCTTTTGCACAGCACTTGTGGTCAGAGGGATGCTCTCTGAACACTGTTGCTTAGCACCTCAATGGCAAAACTCTACAGTTGCACAGTCAGTCTTGCAGTAAGCTCTTTCAGAGCCAGATTTGATTAAAGATCAAAAGCTGCCTTAAAACACTAAAACAAAATTTTATGTTTGAAATAGACCAGGCAGAATCTATAGAAACAGGGAAAACAGGAGGCCAACAGAGAACTCTTCACAGGCTCACTCAGTTTTCTCTATTTTTTATTTTGCTTTGCTAGCTGGCTGTTGCTTAAAACCTCTTTCTCACACTCCCCTCATCTCAGCTTCTCTCCACGCTTGTCTCTCTTCAGGGTTGCCTTTCGTCTTGCTTAGATTTCACATACCACTTCCCCAGGAATTCCATGAGAGGATAAAACAATAACCATGGGGTTGGCATTGGCCATCACCCTGTGTGTTTAACCCAGCGGCTTATACACGTTGTGTTCTGTACCTTGCAAGAGAAGGATCTGCCCCTGGGTGCTTGTTAGCCACTCCTACCCTAACATTCATTAAAACTTTATGCCAGCTGAGGACGTTATTATTAGCCCTAATTGGTGCAAGTCTGCTAACTTTGCTTGACATTAGGGCAATTGACAGTCTCAGCCGCTTAAGAAGTGCTTTATTTGTAATGATGTTTCGTGCAGCACCTTTGTGTAAGCTCTCACATCTGCCAGATGCATTTGCAGTGTCACCAAAAAGCCTCCTCTGACTTTTGATCATGCTAATGATTCGGTATGAGTTCCAGCAAATCAATTTGCTTTCCTTAAACAGGTTTCAGAATAATGCTGCCGTTCATGATGCTTGTGTTTTTAAAGATGGCTTTGTGTAACAAATATCCCTGGAACAGCAATATGTGAACAGAGATTAATGTTTTACATACCGAGACAAGTCATTCCAGCTATGCCTGTGTCTCGCCAAAGAACAGCAGAGCTAAATGAAAACGATAGTATAAAAACAACAGCACACTCTTCTCTTGCCAAAGGTTCATTTCTTGCCCTGTCCACCCATTCCTACAAGTTATATAGAGTCCTCAGCAAATCACGTTTCATCTCAAACATGGAAGAAGAGACTCAAAGAGATGGCATCTTTTCCTATTATAGCATTAATGAGTGACAAAATGCTGACACAAATGAATGGGACAAACCCAGAGTTTCACTACAGTCCATGCAATATGTGAAGGATGGGCGCACTCGAGCTTTCAATAATTGCAAGCCTCTTTCTGCTCATCGTTACCTAAGGTGGTTGAAAGATGGGTGAACTCATTATAGGCTTTTTTTATTTTTATTTATAATTTATTTGTCTAAATAGGCTTCTGGTCTGCTCTGTAACTTTAAGTGCTTTTCCCAAGGTGACTGGCCAGAATTCACAGCAATGGAGAGCAGCCATTCCTAGAAAGCAGGCAGTGCCATTGGTTTCGACCTAAGCTTTCAACCAGCACGCTACCCATTACTTGCATGTGGGTTTCGGTGGCTCTGTGTGAAAGTACTGCACTGTCTCTGGCAATTTGAAATGGCAGGATAGCCAACATACCTATTCTATTCCCTTGATAAAGCTCCTGGTAAGAAGCTGCTGCAGGGCTACTCATAGGCCCAGCTGGGAGATGCTTCATCATCTCAGATTTAATACTTTTCCCAAGCAGAGCATTTAATGTGCATATATTCTTTGGCATTCATCCATGAGATTAGAGAAAGTTACAAGGAATATACTGTGACCAAAAAAAAATCCATCTCTTTTTGGGAAGAATAAAGCAAAGGTAAAGTAACCC